GAAAAGCCAGGAAGCCAGTCTGCTGGCCAGGGGCTGGATCCACAGGCCTATGGGGCATGGACCTGAGCCCCTTAAGGCATAGCTCAGGCAGGGGCTGAGGGCCTGAGCTGAGCTTAAATGGGCTCCTGGGCCCACGGACAGGCATGTGGGGGGCCCAGGTGGGGCTGGGCAGGGCCATTAGGGCAATTACTACCCACAGAGCCCTGACAGAATGCTTTAAAAAGGTACTTCCTTTTTAACTGAGGTACAAGAACTCAATGTATATGCTCATCATATAGACCAGTTACTTTAAAAAAAACCCAACAAAAAACAAAACCCAACAAAAACACCACAAACCCCAAAAAACCCTAACCACCCAAAATATACTAAATCACCAACACTATGACAAACTAAAAAGTTATTAGAAAAAAAGTCTTTCACCTTTAAGACTTTACATTTACCTTTATACAACTCTACCACAACACCAGAGCTGCAGCAATTTGCCCTGGGCACTGTGGGTTTTCCAAAGGGTTTGTGCTCATGCCTGGAGTCCTTTTCTGCTTTCCTAAAGGAACTGTGTCATCTCATAGATGGAGGTGACTCCAAACTTCTATACTTACTTTTGACTTCCAATTTCTTTGGCAGTTTCTTAGAATCTCCATTCTGGGAGGTCTCTTCTCCTGGGCCCTATCATGATATCAGAAAATTACTAAGCTGAAGGAAGAGTGGGAGTCAGCAAGAGGGGCGGGTGTCTCTCAGTCTGATCCTTTGTGACTTCCTGTAAATAACCAGCAGAAGGAACCAGGCCATTGTGAATTGGACTTTGTATCGGTATGTCTCTCTTTCCTGGCACAGCTTTTCTTTGTGGCTTCATTAATTGTTAATTTAAGAAAGAGAGAGGAATGTTTGAACACGTTAAAAAACATCCCGAAATACACTGACAATTTTCCAGTGTTTCTGTGGAAATGGAAAGTTCACTGAGCATTTCTGTTTATTCTGCCTAGTAAAGGGTAAGAGAGAAACAATGAGGTTCAGAGACAGGTAAGAAGGGAGGCTAAAGGGTTCACTTAAAGGATTCACAAAGGAATCACTTGGCTCATTTACCTTAAAGCATAGGCAAAGAAATTAGCTTATGAGAAAGACTTACAAAATAGTAACTGGAGGAGAACCCGCCCACCCCGACCCCCAGCCCCCTTAAGGCCCTTTCTTCTCTCATTTCCCCTTTTCTCAGTTCAAAAATTCAGCAAATTTAGAGAACTTTTAAACTCAGACATAATCATCACATAGTGGTCTTTTCAGGGCTGATGGAGCCCTATGCCCCTCATAGTGCATGCTAGGTTGGCAGTTGGGCCTAAGCCCAACTGTGAATTGTGTTCACTGTCTGTGTGTGCGTGCCCCCCATCACCTCTCCCTTTCCATAAATATATAGGGAAAATACTACACTGCTTTAGCAGGCCACCATGCTAAAGACTTAAAATAATTGCAACCAGCAGTTTAAAGTCCTGTTATAACTGCCAAATATACAAGACGCTGCAAAGTACCCTTGACCGGCAGCGTGTTAAGACTTAGTGTGGGTGTGTGTAACCAGAAAATATATATGGATATTGGAATTGTGATCTGCACAGTGTAAGCTTGCTACAGACCACATCCTTGTCTCTCAGTATAGATATATTCCTTACATTTTTAAATTTGAGTGGATAGATGGATGCTAAAGAGTACAAAGGTCAAGCAAAGAAACCTGACTAAGCGCCATGCATGTACCCAGAAATGCTTTGCTTGTATAGTACATTCTTCCCTTATTTCCCATTTTGCCTTGCTGTTTCTGGTTTGTTTTTGCCCAATAGTTTTTTGATGTAACACCTGAACCACCTTGGAATATTACTATACCTTACCTAAAACTCCTGCTACCATTACAGAAATTTACAGAATGCTTGACTACAATATGCCTTTGAGATTAAGATAATACTTTCATTAATAATTTATGTAACAAAGCTAAATTATGAAAAAAACTCTTTAGACCCCTGCAAAGCTTCATTTGGGCACCAGATAACAGGACAGGAGAGAACTACCTTGCAGTTTGAACAGTGCCTAATGGCAGGTACAGGATTCCTTGCTGCTTCTTAGAAGGCAGCTGAGCCCAGTCACTAATGAAGTTGGGCTATCAGACACCACCAAGCTTGTTTTTCATCCAGACACTGTTATTATCCATGTTTTAACAATGGGTACAGGACTTGCTGAACTTTGTTTCTGAAGAACCAGAACAGGATTTCCGTGATCTTCCACATGTAGTTATCACCAGCTGAAAACTTACATAGTCCCCAAGATTTAGTAAGTCAAGGGCTGTGCTACCACTTTGCCATATTTCTGCACCCGAATTTTGGGTAAAAAATCCTCGTCCAACAGTAAAGCTCAATCTATGCAGCATAACACTCACTGAATGGTAAGGAAAAGAAGCAGAGAAACAAAAAATTTTTTTTACTTTCAGCTCTATAAGAAAACAAAATGAGTTAGGAAAAGAAAAATGAAAATAAAAAAGTACAAATACCAACCTTTCTATGTTGTAAAGATTAAACAGAAACAAAACCATCCAGGGAACCACCCACCATCAGAAATCTAAGTAACAGCAAAAGTTAAATGCATCTCAAGAGACATGACTAAAATCACAAGCATTTTAAAGAACAAAATTCACACAAGCCCAAACCCAATCTTCTCTAACTACTGAAATAACATTTCAGACACAGAAGAATTAGGAAGAAAAAGTACCTTTGCAAACATCTTCATCTAGACTGCCTGTGTATCACAGTGCTAAAGGGTTACAGTTGAAAGTATATCTGTCCTAAAACAATTCATCACCAAGACAGAACCTCAGCAAGCTTATATAGCTGCAGGGAGAACTGCAAGATATCAGCATGGCGATTTCAACTGCCATTAGGATGATCCCAGTTTTACAGAGTCATGTTAATTATTAACTGACAGCCTTCACTTAGCCACCATCTGAGTTCACCCTGGGTCATACATACCCTATCTCAGCATCAATCCTTTTTTTGTTTCCTACCTTTTATGATGTTGCAGCGTGCTATGTCATCCTCCCTCCAAAGTGAAACATTTGACAGAAATAAATGTGCT